GAAGAGTACCTCGGAGGTTTATGTAAATTTAATGAAATCACGTTGGCAAAATGATCCTCTAAAAGACCAACAAAAGATATTTTTAGCGAATAGTAGAAATCTCTAAGATCTTCAAGAATTAGACACATCAACACAACATCCTGAAGCATATGATATAAGTAGACCATTAAATGAACAAATTACCGCAAAATTACTTCAAGAGATTCCGGAGATGAAGTTTAATATCCAGGTAAAATATCAGTTTTTTAGTTAAACTTTAAAACTTATTAATTTATTATAGATTGTAATTCGGTTTATATTAATGAAATTAATGAAGAATTAGAAACCAATAACTTTAATTTACAATGAAGTGAGATATTTACTTGTTACTTTTTATACTTATTTATATTTTAAATTTATTGATCGCTGAGATTATTTATATTAAAAAAAAAGGTTCGGGGAATTTTATTAGCCTGAATTTATCAGTCATAGGAAATGTCACAAAATTAATGGACAGATTTTTTTTACTATGATATCGTAATATAAATAATTGGTACAATATGGTTTCTAAGTTTATAATCCATATATAAAATCCAAAATCTGTTGAAGTTAATTTAATTGGTTAAAATTGTCAATTTTTAAATTATAATTTTGGCCGAAATCTTTTATAACTTTGGCCAAACTCATAATTCTGGCCCAAATTCGGTTAAAATTGAAAAATTCAAATTTAATTATTACTGATTTCCCTCTATAACATGTTTCATAAATTAAGTGATACAATACATAGAGTCTAAAAAAAGATTACTCAAGTGTTATTTCGGCAAGTGTTTTATGTTCTTTTCAATTAATCAGAAGCCCAAAGTTATTGTATTTTCAATAACGTTGAATTTTGACAATAACATATATACACTAATGTCTCAAGAAATTAATCAAGAAAACACTAGTAAAGACATAAGAGACAATAAAAATGAAGTGGAAAATCAAGTAAATAGTGAAGTAGATAGTGAAAATTCATTTTTTGAAAACTTTTTTTATGAATCAGAAAATGAATTAGACGAAAACCAAACTACTTTTGATTTTAACAATGAATTAAGTGAACTTTTTACTCAAATTATTAGTGAAAATGAAGAAAATAGTGATATAGAATTATGTACAAGTGAATATGATAATGATATAGAAAACAGAGTTAGAATTAGACAGCAATAATAATGAACAAAACTTTGATTATACATGTGATAAAGAAATTAATGAACTTATATCAGATAATGAAGAATTAATTAATAAAGAAAAAAAATCTAACGTGCAAACACCTATTTCGCAAGTAACACCTTGTATAATTATTGATTATGTTCAAGGTACAATTAAAAGATGTGGAGCAACATATAAACTTAGAAAATTACGAAATTTGTATGGGACATGGCAAATTGATCGAGATACAGTTAAACAAGTTAGAGATTATTCTGAGTTAGGGGTTTGTGATTCACATTTTTTATTTGATCAAAATCAAATTCATAATCATAAAGACAAAAAATCAAAAAATTTTAATGATGCAATAATTCAACATCGAAGATGTATAGGGTGTGGAAAATATGTAAATTTTTTTAGCCATGGAGAAGAATGCTGCAATCATTCTTGGTTTGTTAATAGACGAAATATACAAGTACCTTGTAATGGGTTAGTATATTGCAATGCATTAAAACAATCTTCTATAGATTCTTTAATATTTTGTGAATGTGCTTATAATGAAATTAAACAACCAAGATGTATCTGTTGTATTTGTTATGAACAATTGGGTGGACATATTCACAGGCACACAGGCCGGGGTAAAAAATCAGATTGTAATGAATTTCATAAACAAGATACTTCTAATGGAATAAAATTTATTGCAAATTGGCTTATTAAAATTTCTTATTTGGATGAAGAATCAACAAAAAAAAATATTAAATTCTATTACTAAAGCTATTTTAGCTTTTCTTACCACATCTTCAACAATTCAAACTATTAATACAAATAAAAATAATATTAATACAAATAATACCCTAAATGAAACTCACAGTTTTTTTTTTTATTATACAAGCTCTTTTCCTTGATACCTTTATAAATAATACAAGAAAAATTCAAACAGATAATACAGAAATTATAGATTACAAAGATTTGGGATATAAATTTGGAATTAAACTCTGGAAATGTGAAGAAATAAAAGAAAAAGAAGATTTGTTGAAATTTACTTGGATCGCTTGTTGAATATTACCATGCATTTCCAAATTTTATTACAAGATTTTTTTGGAGAATGTTAATGAAAAACTTGCTGTTAGCAATAAACAAAGAAAGCATTGAAAACAATTACCACAAACATTATTAGAAAAAAAATTACAAAAATAGTAACCTTTTTAGTTTCTGTTCTTATTAGCATTACTTTTCCTTCATGTAATATTTGGTTAACTAACGTGTTAAATAGTTTGGCACGTAAACCAAAATTAATATCTTCACTTTATTGTCTCCTTAATGTATGGAAAGTAATTGGACATAGTGAATGTCATGAACGAAATCAAGAAAAGGAATGAATAAGTAAAGTTATTCCTACCCAAAACTTATATCAAGAATCAAATGTATGAATCTTGGTGTTATAGATAATATTGATTCTAAGCAAAAACATTTTCTTTTGGAAACATATATGATACAACCCGAAACAGCTCACATGCAACCTTGAGAATGGTATTCCAGTCAAGAATTCCTGATGATTTGGCAATAGGTCAAGAAGAAGTAATTACTTTGGAAGAAGATATGCATATATTTGATATGAATTCTACTACACAAGAAGCTCTAGATAATTTTCAAAAAATATTGGAACGGTTGTTAGATTTTCAAAAAACAAATGAAGGAAATTTAATATACAATCAAAACTTTGATGCCGATACAATTAAAAAAGAAATATTAGTAGAATTTGAGTATGACTGTCAAGGTCCTTCTCTTCATGTTGTAATTCTTGAGCCAGGTAACAATCCAAATTCTGATCAAGCAATTTTAGAAGCCGCTAATATGTATAAAGCTGATTTTAGATTACCAGCAACCAAGTATCTTGATCTTGTTGCTGATGAAACAATTTTTTGTTGGTTAATGAGATGCCAAATACAATTTTCTCAATTAAGACCATTGCTTGGACAATGGCATATCTCTAAAGACTTTTGTTCAGTCTTAATTGTATTATTCTCTAGTTATAGACTTTTGAATTTGGCAAGAAAGTTAGGTGTGAAATTTCTAGACAAGTTTGAGGCAGTTGTAGATTATCGAAGTATATCTAAAGTCTTGGATCTTTTATGGGTGGTAGTTGGAGTGGCAATTAATATATACATTAAAAAGAAAAATATTCATTTGTCAAGTATAATAGATGGAAATAATGAAACAAATATTTTTCTCAAAATATGGCACCTTTATTATAACTGGGCAGGAATGTGGAAAGTACATTGTATAGGAATAAGGAATGGAAACCATAATTTGCAATGAGATTCTCTTGCTGCAGCTTCACCTCTTTTTCAAGTGCTGGAAAATCAAATTATTCAATAGCAATTGTCCAATACCTTTTTACTTTAACTAAGTATCCAAAATTAAATAAGATTTTGCAATATGTTGGAAATTCTGAATACCAAATGACAAAAATGAAAACAAAAAACCTGTTTGCTTTGGTTTCGATGAAGTACTTGAAACATTTGGAGTCAGTTTTATAAAACAAAATATAACTGGAAATATAATTGATGAATCGAAATTAAAAACAAATATTAAAGCAGCTCAAGTAGAAAAAGAAAGAATAAGCCTACTTTTAAGTGAATACCTTGAGGACACATCAATTTTCCACAGTAAGTATGCTATTGATTCTAGAAGAGAATCATTATGGGAGTTGGTAGAAAACTTAATTGAAATTTTTGATATAGAAGATCCATTATCACATCAAATATTTAAAGATCTTGAACCATCTGAAATACATAAAGAAGGATGTGAAAAATTAATTGCATGTTATAATAATGGTTTGGAATGAATGCAGATGATTTATAAACAAGATGTGATAAAAATAGAACCTCGAATTGTACAAGGGAAACGTATGTTGGAAATTTATCGAACAAAGCATAAAGATTATGCTAATAAAAAGAAATCTGAAAGAGCAATGAAATGAAAACAAAAAAATGATAAAATAACTAATAATTAATCAGAGGTAAGTATAAAAAATATTTTGTCAAACCTTTTGTCTAATTTATACTGATTCAGCTTCACGTTTAAAATTAGGGATCCAAAAAATGAAGAAAAATATTTCCACAAGAAGAGCAAATACTGGAAGACTTGTTGACCTATAATAAAAAGATTCCAGACAATATATATGATGAAACTCTTCGATTACTTGGAGCTAATTGGGATAAAAGAAGAGTTTATTGTTGGTGGAATTATCGTATTAAGCAAAAGAATAAAGAATTATTAAAACATTGAATATATTGTACACGTTATTTTAGGGTTCTACTGGATTTACTATATATAAAACAATAATTTGCAGTTTCTATAAAAACTTTTGTGTAAAATACTTATTCATGCATAAGTAAAGTGGGAAATTACTATACAAAGCAAATACCTGGGTAGTATTTTTAAACCTTCAAGTGTGTTTAACAATTCAATTAGCGACATAAAGGAAAAAAAGTAAGTAAAGTTTTGTCAATAGTGATTTTTTATATAAAATGTGGAATATAATAAAATTTATAAAAATGAGTATGACAGAACATAAAATATTAAATAGTAATAAATGTGCAATTATTTTTTAACGCGTATATCTGGTTATCTTAAAATGACTTTTGTCATAAGATATTATACAAAATTAAAATACTAATGATTTACAAGTGTTGTGGCATTTTCTGTGACTGATATTAAAAAACAGTGAAATAATTATGTTAACATTAACTTTCAAAAGTTTTTACTAGAAAAAATTTTCTGATGAGGATATTTAATTCTCTATTTCTAAGTTAAGAATGTACTACTGTTTATACTGTTTTAAGATACAGTGGACCCCTTCTATAACACTGGTCGAAAATTGATAAAACATACACATATCGGGTACTCAATATGTGCATGGTGTTTCCCTAATATCGGGCATATATCAGGTACCCGATATGTGTAGAAAATATTTTATATATATATCAGATAACGATAAGTGTAAAAAAATATTTTCTACACTTATCGGGTACCCAATATATGCCCGATATTAGGGACACACCATGCACATATCGGGTACTCGATATGTGTATGTTTTATCAATTTTCGACCAGTGTAATCACACCCTTCGAGTTCATCTAAAGGTGTAATTATATTGAGGTGTTCTTATACTGAGGTTTTATTTATATAGTCACATATATATATAATTTTTTACAGGTGTAATTATAAAAAATCAAATATTGTAAAAAAAATATTTCAATTTATTAAAATATAACAAAAAAAGATTATATTATTATTATATTATTATTTAAAATAAACTAATAAGTGGTGAAATTATTATATTATATATTAGATATCAATAAATATATCAATAGATTTTTGTTTTTTTGAATTAAATTCAATAACTCTAGAATTTCGTAAATATTTTCTAAATATTCGCAAATTATCTATATTAAATTCAAAATTATTATTTTGCTGTTCAAAATATTTAATAAAAGTTTCCAACCCACTAATTGCATCTTTAACTGATACTGGAAATATTTTATCATCATCACTATCACTCTCACTTTCTTCATTTTCTTCAGATTGTATCAAATTAACAATTTGTTCTTCAGTGAGATTCTCTTCAGTAGAAATATCAAAATCAATTAATTTAAAATACATTTGTACACAATTTTTTTCAGGTAAATTATCAAGAAGATTTATAATTTCTTTATCAATTTCTTCATTAGTTTCTTTATCATGAGTTTCTTCCTCATTATTTGATTCTATTTCAATATTGTTTAAAGTAAGAAGTATACCAGTTTTGATCTAACAGTTTCGAATGTTTTTTGAGTAACATTATTCCATCCTTCAGCTATATAGTCAATAGCTACTTTAATATTTAATTTATTCTATAATTAAAATTAAATTAATAATATAAAAATTATAATTAACTCAAGTTAGTATAATAAAATTTTAATGATTAAAAAAATTATCAATAATAAAATTAAAAAAATTAATAAATAAATTCACTTTATATAATCTATTCCAGAATCAAATTGTCAACCCAAATGTTTACAAAATTCTTGTTTGTATTTTGCTTTAAAACTATGAATAATTCCTGTATCCATAGGTTGCAGATGAGCTGTTATATTAGGTGGAAGATAGATAAGTTTAATATTGAATTATTTTGTATTGTTCTTTTATTCTTGTTGGAATTCTAACTTGATCCTTGTTCATTCACTGGTCGAAAATTGATAAAACATACACATATCGGGTACCCGATATGTGTATGATTTATTAATTTTCGACCAGTGATTATCAAATTCATCTTTACTAGAATTATCAGAATTCTCTTTTTATAATCTTTTTGTATTAAATTGAGAACCTGCATTATCAATAAGAAGTACAATTTTTCTATTTATTGTACAAAAATAATTATTGAGATAATTAAGCCATTCAACAAATTTATCTGCATGTATCTATGCTTTAGAATTAGCACAATAAATAATTTGAAGAGCTGATCTGTTTGAGATTTTTAAAGTAGTGAGGATTAAGTTATTTTCCAACTACAAGTGGTTTAAATTTATGGGAGCCTAAGGTATTGGTACAAAAAAAATTAATACTTTGCTTTTATCCTATAAAGTTATAATAAAATAAAATTATAATAAAATAAATTTTTAAATTAGTTATATGACATGCAAATAATATCAGATCGGGTGGCACAGCAAAATTATTAATTAAATTATAATAAAATGAATTTTAAAAAAATAATTTTAATATTTTTACTTTTTTTTGACTTACACTTGCTTCTGTATTGAGTGTCTGGTTAGGTTCCATTCAAAAAAAAAAAAGTTCTGTTTCATCAGCATTATAAATATCATCATAATTATTTCTGCTAAAATTATTTGTAACTTTGAATATTTTTCTGATAAAGTCTAAAGTAGTAAACTATTAGCTTCTCCTGAAAAATTAAATTTTTGCAATCCATTTCTTGATTTGAATCAATATATCCAACCATTTGTACATTTTAATTGATTCTCTATATTTAACATCTTAACAAATTCTAAACCTTTTTGTTGTAATATTGTATTAGATATAGAAAGTCCAACTGCTACTACTTAAGATGTTCAAATTTGCATTGCTTTATCTAATTCAAAAAACTGAACAGGATGTTGATGAAATATTTGTGAAGTATTGGAATTGAAAAGTATTATTAACTATTTTTGTTGTTTTTTTCATATTTTACTTATAGTTGTTCTATTAATATTTAACCCAACATATTTTGTATTAAAAAATGACATGACTGAAGTTTGATTTGTGTTAAGATTTACCAACATATATTTACATATTTTTTTTTTATATTTATACTAATAGCAAAGCAAATTCAGTTTGTATTTTGAGTATTTTGAGGATGGATAAATAATCTAGATGATCTTGCTATTGTCAAAATAATACTGCATGTAATATATGAACTGCACGTACTGTACATAACTGTATGTACTGCACGACTGCACGTACATATTCACGAATTTATATAAAAATTAATGTGATTATGTGAGGGGAAATTACTATATATTTATATATCATTGGGATTAACAATTGGTGTGACTATGTTTATAACTAATATTGTGATTATATAAAGGGATTTTATTTATAAAAAAAATTGAGCCAAGTTAAAGTGTGATTTAAAAAAGGGAGCACTTATACAGGAGATAACTTTAGAGGGATCCACTATACTTGACATATAGGCTAATTTGTTGTGACATTATTTTGGATTCTAATTTGTCTTTGAAAAAGAAGAGCATTGGAGTTTCTTTTGAATCCTTGCCCATCACTATGGTTTCTTGTATTATGTTCTCTGTTGTCACTATTATAATCTAGTTACCTGTAAGACATATTTATCGTCTTATCACCTTTCTTCATAATCTTTTATAAGTTTCAACTATCAGAACCAGAGTTTTCTATTCTATTTGCTTTATTCTGTCTTTTTTCTCATTGATCCTATTTGTAATGGTTTACAAGAACCCCCTGCTTTTTGATTTTCTTCTATATTTTCTTTTATTATTATTTTATATATTTCTTTTTTTAATTTGGATTCTATTCTGAAACTATGTGAAATTGTCAAGGATTATTAGAACAATCATTTAGTAGCTTTATTAATAATATTATATTTTATATTCAATTTTGACAATTCGTAGATTAATGTTTATCATTAATATTATGTGAATAGAATTATTTTTTATTTTCTTTTTATTTTTATTTCTGTTTTTATATTTTATTTATTTTATTAATTCTTTTATTATGCCAAGTTCAAATCTGATGTTACCTCTATTTTTATTTTTATATTTATTAATTATATATTTATATATTTATATATTTTATTTATATCTATATTATTTTATTATAAATTATTATATATTTTATCAGTATATATAGTATTACAGTAGATCAATTTAATAGTCTATAGTACAAATTAGATATTATTACTTAAATTAGTAAATTCCTAAATTCTTGTTAATCTGTAACACTAGAATACAAAGTTAGAGTAAAAGCCAGAGTACAAGTTAATATCTCAGTCAAAATACAAGTTAAATTAACAGTTAAGGTACTAGTCAAGATATTAGCATAGTTACTAGTGAAGTTTACAGTCAAATTACAAGTCAGTTTAGTAGTTAAAATTATAATGTATATAAAGGTTGAGAATTTTCTTAACTTAGTCTTCAGTTTCTATTTAGTTTCGAATTCAATTCTTCAATTCTTTAGTTAGGATTTATTCAGTAATAAAGTTAATATTACAAAATCCTTTGAGTTCCTTGTTTATTGTATTCTTTTAATAATTGAGAAACCATTTTTGCTCCTATTAACAAGTCTTCATACCATTGTTAATAGTAAATATGTCTCTTTCATAATTGATCGTACTTAATTCCTTCTACATATAAACTCTTATATTGTGATTATTTTGTCTTGATATTAGTTATTTTTATAGTTTTATTTAGTTTTATTTATTAGTTTTTATTATTTTATCCTGTTTTCTTTGTAAATTGTAGAAGGTTTACATGGTGTCACCAGTAGTTCCTAGTTTCCTCAAGAACCACCTAATGGAGTGACTTGACAGTTCTTTTAAAGAGTTTATAATCCTTTCCCGAAGGTAAGACTGTTGTTCCATTATTTTAGAAGGTACCACTGATTCAATTATTTTAGAAAGGAAATCAGACCTTTCATCCATTTTATTCCAATATATTTCAAGTTCATTATTATCCTTAGTATTAATATTCATCCATTAATCATCTTTTAATTTCTCCAACTTTAAATATTATTTCCAATTATTCAGGTTAATTATTGTTCCAAGTTCAGGTTTATAATGATAGTTTATAATTAATTTCATTAACTCAGGAATAATAACATTATACAATTATACAATCAAGTATTTAA